TGCCTCTCATCCTCTGAATCTACTTTGCATAGTAACCCCCACCCCTTGTGCCTATAGGCACACAAAGCCATGCCCTCCTGGGCCACATGCCTGCTCCCTCCCCAGCATTTCCTTCTCCAGGCACCCCGAGTCCCTTCTCTAGGGGCTGCTCATGCCTGGCCCCATCTCCACTTGGCTAATTCCCCCTGTGGCCCCTGTATTGAACTGTTGTGTTGTCCATTTCCCTGTGACAAGGGCTCTGGTTACAGAGTTATTGATTGGTTTTCATGCAGACAGATGGGCCCCTTCTGAGCTCCCATCGAAATCCCTGGCTGTATGGGTTGATTGTTGCCTCTCGGGGTGTAGGATTGCACTGGAGACCACCCTCCACGCAACCTCCTTTGCCCAGGCTATGGCCGGTAATAAATGGAGGCAGCCTGAGCGATAATAAAAGCAATCGAGTAGGTTACCTGTGCAGACACAAGATTTATGTCTCTTCATATTTGATGGGATTGTTTTATTGAGTTCTCAGAGGAGTTGGGACACTGTTTATTTATTCATTCATTCATTCATTCATTTATTTAAGGTCTCCCTCTTTTTCTTCTTTGCATCACCCTTCAAAACTGCACATCTTGGGGCACACTGGAGCTTTCATTAGGGACAACCTCTCCTGTCTTCCTCTTCTCAAGAGTTGCCAGCTAAGCGAAGAACTCAGGGTAACCAAGCCAACACTGTTTTCGCCTAACGGTCATTTTGGTGGCCCTCTCTGAGCCAACCAACAAGGAAACAGACCAACAGGACTGCTGGCCAAGATGGCCTATCTAAAATAACTTAGGGAACAAAAATGGGCTTCCAGGCAGACAACTCCAGATCATTTTAAGTTATAAGAAAACCAACAGTCACGCCTATTTCACATGGAGTTCTAGTGATGGGCAACCTCGACAGCAAGTGACCCTCTGAGAGGACAGGGAAGCAAGACTTTTCAGAAAATGGCATGCTGGTATGCTATTTGTGACCTGGCCTACGAGGCCCAGGGCCACAGAAGGCAAGTTCTCTGTCTTTATTGCTCCCATTCCTCTATGGGAAGACATCTTCTTAGACCACCAACTGGCCTTGGCTCTTTGCTGTGAGTCCAGCAGTCCCGACCACCAAACAAGTGCCAGGGGATGGAGATGTGGCAGGCAATGTTGCCCCTCTGGCCTGCTTTCATGGCGAGCCAGGACCAACAGTCCAATGTGCAGTGTTCTAGAACCTAACTTTCAGAGAGGGAGCTGCTGACTCCAGCTTGGCTAAGTGTCATGGAAAGGACATTGCATGAACAGCTGGTAGACCAGTGCCACCCCATTGCCAGACCTCTGGTGACGAACGAAGACCTGCACATGGCACAGGATGTATTCTTTAACACAGCACGGGGGCTGTAACCTTCGTGAAGTCAGTGTGGCTTCGCCAGGAGAATGAGTGTGCTCACTTAGAGCCAAATAGGCTCAATGAGAGTGCAGGAAGCACCTGATCAGGGAGAAATTGACTCTGAAGAGTCCACTCTGAAGATCTTGGGGCAGGAGTGCCCAAAGAGTGCAGGGCAGGCTGCAAAAGTTAAGAGTCATGGACTTATTGCCAGCTCATTCCAAAACAGCACTCTTAGGGAATCTTTAGCAACCCAAGACTCTCAGGAGTGTATGTCCACTCTTCCAGGGGAGCTGTATTCCCTGCCCAAGGCAACAGACAAACCCAGAGATTTGGGCATATAATCAGGAAACTTCTCCTGCTAGTCAATTGCTCAGCCATATAACTAGGTGACATGTCCTGCCTTTCTGGGATATGGCTCTCCCTTCATCTCTCCCCCGCCCAGTCATTTCCCACACTAAGTTTCCTTCTCAAGTCACCTGTTTATAAACACTCGCCTTCTATAGAGATGGTGTGCAAGCCGAGGAGCTGGCCAGTCCATGCTTAGCAATCAGTAACCCAATATGGAGAATGAGTCAGACAGATTCCACACGCTAAGCAATCCAGATTTTTGACAGTGGTCTCAGGAGGCAAGTGGGGAAGGGGGAAAACTCTGAGGGCCTCCCTAACCAACTCTCTTAGCTCAGAGGTATTTCTATGAGGATTTGCCAAAGGAAAGTGTGTGTTGGATGTCCAAGCCTTTATCGCGACAGGATCAGAGAAAACCAAACCAGTTTTAAAGCATGAAAAGCAATTTAGTTTATAACCATGACAGCATATTTCAAAGTGCGTCCACAGCATCTGTTTTGGGGAGAAGCTGAAAAACCTTCTGATTTGGCTAAGGTGGGTAAGCACATTTGGACTTTCTTTCTTGCCAGCTACCCCCACCCCACCACACACACATACACCATTACTCATGACCATTATAAGTAATCCAACACAAGTGGGCACTTCACCAGCAATAAAGTTCTAAACTCAAGAACTGCCCATCGCCCCAGTGCACCTTGCTTTCTGCACAGAGGAAAACCTCCAAGCTCTTCCTATAGCGAGTGAGAATTTGCAAAGTTTCTGACATCACCAAGCACCAGCAGAAACATCCCGTCTTTATCAGACTTTAGGGTGAGACAAGGCATCTCAGACAAATGTTCCCCTTCAGAGCAAAGCACCTACAGGCATGAAGCGAAGGGCATGGTGCCCAGATGCAACCCCCGCCCCCGCCCCCCACCCCAACTCAGCAGCAGACAGGGAAGCCCCTGGAATTTTTTCCAAAATAAGAACATGCTAGGTTTCAGTCTCAAAGTGCAATCAAGAAAATCCTGGCTGCTCCTCGTTGACAAAGCAAGCCAGAAAGCGGGCCTGCAGAGCTGGGGCAGACTGCCCAAGCTGCCCGGGGCCTCCCTGTTCCTCTCCTCCCACTCCATCTCCATCTCCAGCAACACCTGCCCACAGATGGCTATTTCTCCACACCCAAAGGAAGCCTTCCTGCTCTTTCAAGTTGAGCAGATTCTGCAACTGTCAGAGCTGTCAAGCTGAGGTTTACTCTCTCCCACTCTCATCCCGCTCAGGGGTCATTTCCCTACATTCCTCCAATTCTGGTGGGTGCAGCTCAAGGCCTCTGAAGCTTGTGCTTGGGTTGCCTGCCTCCTGCTTTCTGTGACTTTTTGGGATGAAAACAATCCTAACGTTTGCATAGCCAGTTTCCAAAAACATCTCAGGCAATGAGGGGTATATATAGGGAAAGAAGGAGACACAGGATGCTAGACAGGGTGCTGGGCTAGGGGTGAAGCCACCACATGGATCGTTCTAATACCCCACCCATCAAGGGAAGCAAATGACTTGATCATGCATACATACACATAGACCTTATTTTCTTTTCCTATTTTTTCACCTACAACAGCATTTCTTGGGATCACTCTGCAGAACCCCAGCACCCAGTCCCAGCACCACCATTACTCCTCAGCCAGGCTGCTGTCCTCCCAAGACCTCAGTTCTAAATCACTCTCAGGACCAGCAGCCAGCAGAGTCCATATCTCTGAATGACTCAGAAAACAATAGTTTGCCACCTTCCCAGTGCTCACCAGCACTCCTGCCCCAAAGCTTTCCCAGCTTCTCAGGCTGGCTTTTAAATGCAAAAGACTCTTTCCTCTTCCAAATAACCCTGCATCTTTCTCCTGCTCCTTCACTAGGTGTCTGAATGTCAAATCACTATGCTTTCAATATCTGGCTGAGCCAGGCCCAGGGAGCTGGAGGGTTTTCGGAGGGTGTATAATTAGCTGATCAGTATTATGTTACCCTGTTCATAACTGAATAACCATTTTAATACAGATGGCACACACTGGGATAATTTCTGGGGTCGCCTTGCAGTACGTTACAGCACGAGTGTGGCAGAGGGAATCTTCTTTAGCCAAGGTACATTCTACCAGCTAATTTTACCTGCTGTTTTCAGGATGATTTGGGATAATTCCACATCATTTGCAAAATACTAAAAAAAAAATTAAAAAAAAAAAAACCAAACCCTGACACATGATGCCAGTTTCAGAAAAAAGCACCATCTGAATTCTTAGTTGTCCTTAATGAGCCTATGAAGAGTGGAGAGAATAACAAAGGTAGGAAACCTTCAGCCTTCTTCTCATTTGAGGGTTTGCCTTAAATGGGGGGGGCAGGGTGTGAAAGACTAGCTGAGGCTCTCTGGAACTCACACTGGGCTGTACAGTTCTGTGATGGGGAAGCCAGCCTGGGGTCCTGTGTCCTACTGTGGTGTTTATGTGCTGTTCCCATCGCAGAGGAACATGCCCACTGCCTACATGGAGTGTGCTCATGTATACTTCCAGAGAGCACGCTTGGGAATTTTGTGCTACTCTGTGCCAAGCTGACTCCAGCCTGTGTCATACCCCATGTGCTGGACCTGTTGTCAGTGCCGACTCAGGTCTGGACACAGGCAGCAGAGGAGTTTGGCGGCATCACCTGAGGTTTAGTCTCAGGTCCATGAGTTGTACCTCCCTGCCTGGCATCCCTTTTCTTGTCCGGCTCCCTAGCTCCCTGCCAGCTGCTGGCTGGTGGTGGCTCTACAGGCCTGGACACCCATGCATATAGGCCGGAAATTCGCACAGCACTGGCCAGCAAGCCTGGGCTCCTGGGAGGCCAGCTTTGTGGTAGTTGGCAGGTTGGTGGAGGAGCCAGGATGAGGGGTTGCCCCTAGGGAAGCGAGCATGCCTTTAGAAAGGGAAGTCTGTTTGGAGGCAGTGAATAGACACTGGTCATTTGAAAGGCTTCGGCTGTGGGCTGTGATTGTCTCTAGATACCGAGGCGCGTAATCTTGGAGTCTTAATTACCACAAACACTTGGATTCATTTCCAGGATGCTGCCGGGAGAAGCCTGGCAGGGAATACCCAGGCCCAAGCTGGAGTCTGCCCTGTCTGTCTAGCTCTATGCTGCTCCCTGCTCAAAGGATTTCGGATGGGGCGGGGGAGGAAGGGTAGAGGGTAGAGAAAGAACTGAGACCCACCGGTGCCAAGAAACCCTCCTGGCCACGAGCTGGGGGCCCGAGAGCTGCCCTGCAGACCAGGCAGCACGCTCACCTGTTGATGGAAGAGACGCTGGGCACCGTGTCGTTGTCACAGATGCCCTCTGCCAGGAGCCGGTCTCGGATCTCCCAGGCAAACATGGTCGGGTTCTGTCGCTTGTATTCGGCAATCTTGTCCACCACTTTGGGCGTCGCTACTTTGGGCTTGGAGCCTCCTATCACTCCAGGCTTGATGCTGCCAGTCTCGTAGTACCTGCGCCGGGAAGGCCGGCGGGGTCAGCGAGGGGCAGCAGCGGCGGCGGCAGCGGCGGGGGGCTGCAGGCCCTGGAGTTGCTGAGCCGCTCTCCCGCCAGAGGCAGCAGCAGAGGGAGAAGCCCGGTGTGACTGAGCTGGCTTCCAGAGGGCGCCTGGCCAGGGCAAGGGACGGGCCACCGCGGAGGATGGGGAAGGGGGAGGACAAAGGGGAAGTTCCCTCCTGGGAGGGGGTCAAACCACCCGCCTGAGCAGGTGGCCCTGGGGTGCGCAGGCAGGAGCACGGGCAGACCTGTCAGACCAGGGTGGAGGCACAAGCTCCAGCCCTTTCCCACTGGGCACAGAGCTCCTGAGCACCTTCTGCCCCCCCCACCCCCCGCTGAATTTTCTCCTCTTGGGAACCCATTCTCGCTGCTCCCCACCCTGTTCCTCCAACACCTGAGTTCCAGTGAACTCTGCCAGAAGAGGCAACACCCCTTGCTTAAGACCGGAATCTAGGCTGCCTCTCCCCCTTGCCCTGGAGCAGAAGGGGGTGCTGGTGAACCCTGCTTCACCCTTGCTCCTGCCCCCCCCACCACCCGGGCGCCCTCTCCAAAAGGAGCAGCTCTCCAGACACCCCCAAGTCAGGGCTCTCCCTTTTTCGTTGCTGTCCTCAACTTTTCGCCAAGTCCTTGGGCTGCAGACCCAGGACTGGCCCAGGAAGGAGGCAGGGGGTCTCCCGGGGGCAGCTCTGTGGCCCTCACCTGCCCAGGATTTTGCTGACACAGCCGTGGCTGACCCGCAGCTGCCTAGAGATGTCGCAGGGCCGCACGCCCTGGTGGGCCAGCTCCACGATGCGCTGCCTCACCACGTCGGGCAGGGGCCGGCCGTTCACAAACACCCCCCCGAGCTGATTCACACCCCCGTGCCCTGCTGGGGAGAGACAAGAAAAAAACACAACACCCCACACACAGCAGGGACCGGCCATTAGTCAGGGTCCGTGGCCCAGGACGTGTGAAGGGAGCAGGCAGGGTGGAAAGGTTTGTTCCCGAGTTCACGGGAGAAGGGCGGCCCGCCGCTGACCACAGCGCGGAAGACGGGGGTGGGGGGAACCCGCCCTACTGTGGATGCAGAAATGCGGACGCTGGACAGAGAGCAGGGAAAGAGCGGGGCTCCGTGGACCAGAACCATTCAAGGGAAAAAGGGAGGGAAGGAATGCAGAAGCAAGGTGTGGGAGCAGAGAGAAGGGGGAGAAGAAACAGCAAGGGGACAAACGCATCAGGAAAGAAGTGGGAACAAGGCAGGCCAGGCCTGGCAGAGGAGCACCCAGCGCAGCCAGATCCCGCCTGAGCCGCAGGCAAGAGGGAGCGAAGCGTGCGGGCAGGCGAGGGCTTGGAGGTGGGTGATTTTGGGGGGGTCTGGGCTGCCTGACTCTGTCTATAAGGGCTCCAAGCACAGAGAGGGGGCTAAGTCCCTGATAGTCCTTCTTCTGCCCCCTACCTCTTTCCTTGCATTTATTTTTATTTTAAATTAGGTTTGCAGTTTTCTTCTGCTTTCCCTGTGTTTTTGTTTTGCGTTTTGGTTGGGAGTTTTTCTTTCCTTTATGTTTTATATCTTCAGATATTGGGGGAGGCATATTTCCTTTCACTTCCCTAGTGTAGGAGAAAGCCAGGTGGAAGAGGGGAGGCTGAAGAGGTAGGGCCCAGAGGCAGCCGCAAGCTCAGGGGCAGCGGAGAGCATCCAGAGAACAGCAGCGCCTGAGCTCTTCCTCCCGCGCTCAGCCAGGTTTGGGGCCCGCCTAGCCCAGGTGGTGTGGTGGTTGCCCAGGGGTGCTGAGGGCTTACGGGGCACCCTTGCAGCCAGCAAGAGCCAGCTCGCTGTCCCCCTGACCTCTTAGGAGTCAGTGGCAGCCCAGGAGATGGCAGCGCCAGGGCGTCTGCTGTCCTGACCAGGCGCAGGGCGCTGGGCTTCCAAGCCAGCTCCAGAACCCGCTACCAACCTGGGCACCAAAGGAGGTCACCAGGTGCCAAGTCTGAGGGCACTGTCCCCCTCCCCCTTCCCCTTGGCCTGCGGGACACTTGAAATGCTGCACCCGGAGCCATCAACCCACAGCTGCATTCCCAGAGCTTCGAGTTCCAGCTGCCACGGGGCCAAACGGCCCCCAACCTGCAGCCCCGGCCCTGCTATCCTCAGGCGACTTTCGGAAAAAGCGGGAACATGCACACCCGCTTTCCTTCCGGGTCCCTTCTCCAGGAACGGAGAGGAAGGCAAGGCAAACCCCTGGGGAGAAGCCTCTGATCTGGAGGTCGGTGGAGGCCGGAACCTTTTCTTTTACCCCCCATCCAGCCTGTCTCCCCACCTCTAGCCCCGCTCCTCACCCCCCACCTCCAAGCCCCAGCCTGACCATTAATAATTTAGGCCCCGGGAGAACTCGCGTTACCGGTATGAAAAGGCGGCAGCTGCGGGCGGATTAAAGATGAATAATTCAGCCTCCCCGGGCTGCGGGCCCGGCCCCTCGGCCCCAATCTAAGGGGTGGGGATGGGAAGGGGGCGCCGCTGGCGTCCAGGGCTGGGGGCCGGGAGCCGCCGCTGCGTCGGGCCTGGAATGCGCCACCGCCGCCGGCGCGGGCTCGGGCTGCGGCTGCGTGCGGGTCGGCCCGCCAGTGCGCCGGCTCTCGCCGAGACGGTCTCCCATCCTCCGAACGGCTCCCTTCAGCTCTCCTTGCTTCCCTTTGGGTTTCAAAGTGCCATCCGGAGGACGGCTGGGGCCGGCGGATCCCCCGCAGAAGCCGGGAGAGGAGTGAGCGCAGCGGCGCGCGGGCCGGGCGCAAGCCGGGCCGGGAAGGCGGCCGTGGTCCGGCTCCGCTTTTCCAGACAGGAGCCAGCCTGGCTCTGCTTTCGGAGCCCCGCGGCAGCCCAGGCCCCTGGCCGGGATCTTCTGTGCTTGAAAATTATTTAGGGAAATGTATTTTATCCCAGGAGTATTTTTTAAGCTCCCCCCTGCAAAGCTGAATACTTGGTTAGAGAGAAACAGAGCTCTCCCTCCTTGGCGCTCTTGTCTGCAGCACAGATCCAAGCCAGGTCTAAAAAGTTTGCTGTGTTGAAAAGTTACAAATCATCCTTAATTATTAATCTACAGTGAGGAAGTTTTTTACTTATCTTTTTAAGCAAACCCCGCAAAAAAAAAAAAATCTTAGAATTGTTTTCCGGGCTAAAGATGTACAACATGAATTAGATAAATTCAAATTTCATTAAAGCAAGCCCTCTTTTCCTCTTTTTCATTTATTTTCTCCCCTTCCTCTTTCCCTGCAGCATCCTTTGCAGCGTCTTTATCTTATTTCCTTCCCCTTGTTTTGATTTCTCTCTCCTTTCTCCCCACCTTTGGCATTTGTCTTCCTTTTGTTCTTTTCGCTCATTTTCTGCCTCTTTGCCTATCCCTGGCCAGGTCACCGGCGGGACCCTCATCACCAGGGAGTGAGAGGCCAGCGAGGAGCCTCCCGAACAGGAAGCAGAGCTTTGCTCTGCCCAGGGGTCGCCTGCCCAGGGGTCCTCCCCTCCTTGTCTTGCTGACTTAGATTTCTCCTTGGAACCCCTCTTTGTTTTTAGAGCATTTACCAGGGAGAGGTGGACAAAGATGACCACTCTGCCCTGCCGAGCCTGGACCCCCAACTCAAAGAGAAGGGGAAGGAGAGGTAGAAAAGAAACGAAGTATTTCAAACCAGCCCACAGGAAGCCTCGGCCGGCCGGGCTGGTAGGGCCAGCAGACACTGGGAGCTGAGGGTCAGATGGGGGCACCCCACCCCCCACAAGCCTGACTGTCCTGAAACTGAAGCTGACCACGCTAGGTGTCTCCTCCTGGACAATCACAGTCTAACTTTGAGCCAGGTTGAGATGAGGAAAGGGAGGAGGGGGAGCCGAACAGAGAGAGAAGACAGAGGAGACACAACACAACACAACACAAAACCCTGCCAACTGCCTCCCCATCAGTGCTGCACTCCAGGGCAAGAGGGTGACCAGAGAGCAGAGTGGCTGGAGCCGGGGCCGGGGGCTGAGGAGCAAAGGCTGAAGGAGCAGGCGGCAGGAAGGAAGGTAAGTGTCGGGCACCGGGAAGGTAGGAAGGCAGGTAGAGGCAGAAGTATGGGTGACAGAGGGAGCGGGAAGCTGGAGACTTTCAGAAACACTGAGACATGAGGGGAAGAGGTAGAACGAAAAGGGGGGTTGGGAGAGGCCAGCGCGGCCTCCAAGGTGGGATCTGAGCGCCGCGGGCCGGGGCCGGGCCGGGGCCGGACAGGGCAGGGGCCGCGCGCCTGGAGCCGCAGGAGCCGGGCGCCGGTACTCACGGTGCATCGCGGAGAAGGGATCTGCTTTGCAGTGCATATCCATGGGGAGGCAGAGGAGCGGGAGCAGCGCGGCCGCCGCCGCCGTGTCGCCTCTCAAACTCAACTTCAGGACTTGAAGAGAAAAGGGAAGGACGGTGGGGGTGGGGGTGAGAGGGCGCCCGGCTGCGGCGGGGCGCGCGGGGGTGGGGGGCACGGCGCGGCGGTCCCCGCGGGGACTCCTCCCGGGCCGGCCGGCGCTCGCAACCGTAGCTGCCGCAACTTCCCGCCGTCGGGGCGCGGGGCCGGGCGGTCAGCAGAAAGGTCCTGGGGCGGCGGGCCGGGCCGGGGGGATCTGGGGGCGCATGGCGCGCGCCGCAGCGGCGGCCGGAGCTGAGGCTGGGCGGGGGCGGCGGCGCGCTCAGCTCCCCCGGAGCCCGGTCATCCAAGAGGCAGCGTTCAGAGAGGGCGAGGGCCGGGGGCGTCCCGAGGGCGCCGGGTGGGGAGCCGGGTGTCTCCAAGTGCCGGTGAGTTGGCGAAGTTGGCGGAGAAGTAGCAATCCTCGGGATGTCCGAGCGGGCGCCTCCGGGAGGAGAGCGCGAGCCGGGCCCCCGCCCCCGGAGCAGGCAGGCGCGCCGCCGCGGCCGCGGGGCCGGGAGAGGGAGGGAGCCGCGCGGCGCCGGCAGCGCTGGGCTGCCCCCAGGTGGGTTGCGGCTGCGAGCAGGCTGGCCGGAGACTGGAGCCTCGGCTCCCGGTGCGTGTCTCTCTAAAAGCTGCAAAGCCCCCTCCAGACCCCCGCCTCCTCCCCGCGCTGGAGATGGATGACTTGTCAGACAAAGGCAATAGATTCCACCACTCTGTGATTCGCCAGCGCCGGAGCCCCGAGCTTCGGCGAGGAGGGCCCCGCGCCTGTCACTCCGGTGCCGGCGAGGGGAGGGCGCAGGAGGGGGAAGGAGGGAGGGAGCGGCGGGCGCAGGAAGAGGGAGGGAAGGGAGCGGGCCAGGGGGAGGGGGGAGGGGGGCAGGGGATTAAAACTACACTGAGAAACGAAACTCGCCGATAAGATAAACGTTAGATAAGGATAAAGCGCGGCCGGCCTAATGAATATTCAGGCGGCGGCTCCGGGCCGCCGAGCGCGCGGCGCTCGGAAACCCGCTCGCGGTCCCAACTCCCCGGCCCCCCGGTGCAGCCGCCAGCGCCCGCCGGGGCCACGCGACCCCGAGCTCGGTCCGCACCCCTAGTCCGAGCCCCTCTCGCTCGCGGCGCCGAGTTCCTTCCTGACCGTTCCGTCCTGTCTGGTCCTTCCTTTCTGCCTTTCGCCCCTGAGCTACCTACCCAGCCACGCGCCCCCCGATTCTCAACCCCGGGCAAAGTGCTGGCAGTTCGTCCTCTCCCGCACGGCGCGCGGCGGCACGTAGGTGGCCCTGGTCCCCTCGCCCCTCGGCGTCTGCGCAGCCCCGAGCGCTGGGTTTGGCGTCCAGCTGGAGACCCGGCGAGGACCCACCTGCGTCAGGGGGACCCAGCAGATGGTGGGAGGGCGCCCGGGCCTCCGGGAGGCTGGGGAGAGGGGCTTGGGGTGGGAGGCAGCGCAGAGCCACTGCTCGCGGGCGGTAAGGACGCGGACTCCTGCTCTCCCGGCTGGGAAGAAGAGGCTGCGAGGGAGGCTGAGCGCCGCCCGCCGCCTGTTCCGCGCGCGGAGCCGGCGCAGGAGGCGCTGCGCGCTCGGCTCGGCCGGCTGCTGCCCCGGCGGCCTCCGCAGCCTCCTCCGCGCCGGCTCGCGCGCCCGCTCGGGTCCGTTCGCATGCACCAGGCAGGAGAAGCCCTTTGTCTGCTAACTGGTTAAGTACAGAATATCTGGGAGATCTTTATGAAATATTTTCCCTCGTCTCATAAATCATCTTGGCACTTCAGCTGATGTTTTAACTCCCGCTCCCTCCCCCCGCTTCCCCGGGTCTACGAAAGGGCGGCTCGGGGAAGCCCGCGTTGCGCACTTGCCGCCCGGACTCGACTCCCCTTCTGGGCCGCTCCCCGGACCCCGGCGCCCAGGGAAACGCGGGGACTCGCGCCGCCGTGCCTCCGGTCTCAGCCCAGGAGGCTGGTAGGATGGCGCCGCGCCCGCCCCACCCGGTGAGGAGGAGGCGCCCACTGGGCCTCTTGGACCGGGGCTTCAGGGCGCCCTCACTCCTCGGGCGGGGCTTGGACCGGGCAGCCCAGCGCTGTGGTGCGCCCCGACTCCCTGGGGGCCAGGTTTGCTCTCCTAGCGTTTGCCCGCCCGAGCCCGAGCGGCTCAATCCACCCGCCCAGTAACTTCTGGGAGAGAAAAGCCCTCCCCGCAAACCCCTCCCTCCCCACACGCACTCCCACTTTCCTGAAGCGGCCAAGCTGGTTCCCCTGAGCAAAAGGTTGAAGGCTCAGGGTCCAGCCCCGAAGGTCAGTCTCTTCCTCTCGAGACCTGCAGATGGCACTCTCGGGTTTGCTTTGGCCTCACAACCCCACGAACACGCACCAACTTCGTGTGTGTGGAGCGAAACAGGAAAACTGTTTCGCACCCCTAAAGGGAACAGCTCTCCCACGTGGGAGTCAGGGGCTCTGACATGGTATTATCTGGCACAGCCTTGGACTTTCTTCAGGGAAGTGATAAACCCAGACCTGGGGGAAAGAAAGGGTCCTTGCTGAGAGGAGCTCCAAGTAAAGGAGGTCTTTGCCCCAGGCCTCCTTGTGTTGGATCAGTAAGTTAAGTCTTGGGGCGTGGAGGAATGAACCGTAGGGGGAACAAGGCTGTATGCAGAAACCTTCTCCACCCCTAGACTCCAGATTTTTCTAGATCAGATGGACCTGCCCCTGTGGATGTTACCCATACTGCGAAGAAGTGTGGACAAGGACAAGTACTTTGACGTACCAGGCAAGAGAAGTTTTTGAGTTTTGTTGGGAAGGGGACTTCATGCACAAAGTGTGCCGAAAGTTGTGCGCCCCGCACCTTCACGTGGACCCACAGGCACTCAGCACCTTTGCAGGCCAGGCCGACTCCCAGGTAGCCTGTGAAGACCCAGACCATCCTGCCCCCACCCCCACCTTCCCAGCCCCTCCAGCAACGAGGTCCCCCAGCACTGCAAGTAGAGAGACACTCACCCTCCCACTAGGTCAGCTCCCAGCAGCCTCCTCCTTAGCTCCAACCCACTCCTGGGTCTAGAAAGTCAAACAGGAACGCTTCCTGCTGATTAGAAACCCATTTCACCAAGGCTCGGCCTTCTCCCAGGACGAAAGGCGGGCCTGCAGACTTCTCTCTGGGGCTGGCCTCTGCCTCCAGTGCCCCCTTTCCAGTTCGTCCCTTTTTTCTTCTATAGAGTGTAGGAGAGGAGGGGAAAGCAAGAAAGGGAAAAAAGGGGAAGAGACAGAAGAGGAAAAAAGGAAAGAAAGAAAACAACCCAACCCCAAACACAACCCAGGCTGCGACCTGTCAGGGTTGGTTGCTTTCCCGGCTGCCTCTAAATGAACCTTTTCTCTCTAGTGTTTTCAAAGCGGCCCTTCCACCCCCCAACCTAGGGGCATTTACACTTCAAACAAGGCACCCGCCTCCCTACGGAAATTTAAAGGCAAATAAACTTTTGGGGAGTTGCTCTGATACCCATCTCAGGATCTGCTTCATTAGCCGCCTCTGTGCATCTGATCTGCCAATAAATCTTCCTTGTGGATCTTGGTTCCTTCGCCTTCTCTGCTCCTTTCCCTGCCAGGCTCGACTGGCGCCCTCGCGCCTTCCTCACCGCAGAGCTGTTGCCTGCCTGGGCCCCTGGCTGGACCGGACCTGCCCTGTCCTGGTGCGGGTATCTGGGATGCAGTGCTCTGCCCTGAGCTCCTCCCGCTCGCGCACACATGCACAGGAACTCCAGGTCAAGCTAGCTCTGAAATGCGTTTTGGGGGCAGACTGTGCTTGGAGTGAGGTGCTGGTATAGCCCCAATGGTCTATATAGTCCAATACGCTGGTTTTCACTGCTCCCTTCTGGACACTTCCACTCGGTTTTTTTGGTTTCCCATTCCCTGGCCCAGCACTTTCTGCCCTAGCAAGAAAAGGCAGAGGTCTGGCTGTCCCTCCTTTGCAGGCGGGGCCCTGGCCACCGGTAGTGTTAGCCCAGGAAAGCCTAATGGGGGCTAAAGGAGCACCCCAGCTGTGTCCCTCCCTGGCGGCCTAGGCCTGCCTTCCTCCCCGGGAAGCAGCAAGGGGAGCCGGGGCGAGGCTCTGAGGGAGGGGATTAGAAATTCTGAAATTAAATGCATCTCCCTAGGAAATGCCTCCCACCGTGCGGACCAAATTAAACACATTAAAGTTGGGGGGGGGAACTCTTTAGAACCAAGGGGGAAGAACTAGTCCAAAGAGAAGAGAAGCAGAACCCGAGGCACACCCAGGTTGGGAAAGTCACTACCACAAAGAAAGAAAAGTTCCTTGGGCCATCCAAGTCGGGACAGCCGCAGCCCACTCGCCCTCAGGGTCCCTGCGCAGCCCTCGGTGCAGAATCCGGGCGTCCGGTCTCTGGCAGGCGGCCTGCGCACCCGGTGCCCCTCTACAGTTCAGCCGACCAGCTCCTACCAGGCCTGTCCCCTCCTCCCCCCCCCTTCCTCCCGCGGCCTCCCCTTCCTCGCCTCTGGTCACGTTGGAGGATGGGTTTTTTTTTTTTTTTTTTTTTTTTTTTTGGAAGAGCTTCTGGTACAATATGGAGCACCATGGGCTGCAATTTCACACTCCACGGCACATTCCCCCTAAAGCTACTTTCTTTTTTTTTTCATCTAAGACCCCCTAATTTCTGCTTCCTCGCTCCCTCCCTTGCTCTCTCCTCCCTCCCGCTCTCACTCCTCTTTTCCCGCTTTTGTTCCCAATATTTGGGCTCCCTGCGCGAAGCCCGGGGGGCCTGACTCCAGCCGCGCCCCGCCTGGGTCTGTTGGTCCTGCGGAGGCCGGCGCACGTGCTGAGCCTTTATGCTCCGACCCTCCCCCTTAACCCGGCTGCTCCTCACAAGAGGGCCCAGCGACCTGCACGGCCCTTTGCTGCCTCTTTGAGGGGCAACGACAATACAAGCCACTTGGCCACCA